AAATGTAAATCATTGAAAGTGTTTTTAAACGTTATATTATATTTGGGGCTGTCATACACGACGCAGGGGTTAGCGAGTCGATCAGTTAATGGGAATGGGAAGAAGTAAGCCGTTGCTCCTGCATTTACAGTCCTCAACACCAGCCAATCATCATAAACTATTTCAATTTTTTGCATTCACAATGCTATACTAAAAATAAGCTTGATGAAAAATGCTTACAAAATCTACTTCGTCCCTAGCACTCTGAGATAGGACTATACACATATTTTTGAAGTTCAATTGACGCATTCGAATAAACATGTAATTGGTACCGTTTAAACGATAAATTTACACACATTACTACGATAAGAGAATGAAACTGATTTTTTTTATTAGCGCCACTATTTATACATCGCATGACATTGGATAGTATCAGACTATTGGAACTTATCCAAACATTAATATTTCCACTCATATTAACAGTATGTATAAATGTAGGGAAGTGTTTTATCAAAATTTTGCATTAGCATGAAGTCATGTGTTTATTTACGATTTCACAATCTTCGAAATATTGAGGATGACGAACTGTTCAGAAATGATAGTGTTAGTGTAACAGTGATATAACAATTGTTGGTGGCGTTGTGGATAAGCTCCGCGGCCCGCGATCGTTGTCGTTAAGCAACTTTCACAAGGGTCGGTCACGGGATGGGTTACCAAAAATTACTATCTCGAGCTACTCTGTTCTTTGAGCCGTTGGTCTCGCCAGTCGCTAATACCCTCCATCCGCATTAAGCCAGCATGGTGGGCCATGGCCCATTCCTTAACTATACATAAGGGAGGCCTGAGGCCCTGCAATAGGGACGAAAAAGGGCTGATAATGATAGCAATTCTATTGCCTAAACCAAATCCAGTTTTAATACTATTAATACCACATTTTCAATCCCATTCACAGTTAACATATAAGAAGTTATTTTATTATATTATTGCCTAAAAGAATAGGTAAACGTTCTGTGTAGCCTAGTGGCTTACATGACTATTTCAATGTTTCGGCATCTCGAGTCAATGAAGAAATTTTTTTTTGTGTTTTCTCGATTTTGGGTATTGTAGTACCGTTGTTGTTTCAAATTCACCAACAATATCATGGCTATGAAACCATCTGAGTAATGGTTGTGGTTTTGTCGATTTTTTTTTGCCTAATATCTTTATATATTCTTTGTTTTCTTTTTAATTTTCTAATACTTGGTGGAACCGAACGACCGACACTCCCGAGGTTTCTGGAGAGTGCTATTTGTCTTTAATATGATGTAAAAAAATTATATGTCTAGGTCAAATAGTTTCGGAGATATTCAATCATAAATTTTTTGAAAAAGAATGAGTGTTTTCAACCCTGAGTCAGCTGTTTTTGGGACGTACTAAGGAAAAGTTTTTAATCGGTCATTGACTTCTTCATTTCTAAAAACGAAATAAACTAGTTTGTGATTTATAAGACTGCTTCAGACAATCAATAAACAAGGCAGTCAAAATGCTTAAATCGATTTACAGACTAACAGCCGGTTTCTGATTTGAAAAAAGTAGAAAATTTCTACTGCTTATTCTCAATAACCTAAGTTTTTTTTTTATTTCACAAGTCAAATAGTCCTAGTTTTATCAAACTGCTATCAACTGATCATCAAAAAACTAAAATCGGAAACGAAAACTAAGTGATGTTAGTTTGAGACGTTTAACTTTAAATTCTCAATTAAGAAACCGAGTGTAAAATTTCCTAAATTATTGTAGAGAGAACAGTCTAACATTAGCCTACGTTATTTTAAAAGAGCAGTTCTCCAAAAAAAATGTTTGAATGGGGTAATACTCCTTTAACAACGGGATCGTTAATTAAACTCGATAAGCTCACAAATCTTCCAGCGATTCATCATTAACACAAATGAACTTTGTTTTTAAAAGATTGAGGAATTTGTTATTAAAATAGCATTTAAAAAGAACATTAAAAAATGCGTGATATCAAACGACGAATAAAAAAAATGTGAACCGAGTTCGTCCCTCGATATCAAAGCCCCACCCACCCGCCAGCCGCCATGCGGCTTCATTATTCTGTCGGTATTTTCCGGCCGCTCAGTCGCCGCCGACCTTTTGCGCTGGAGTGTTGTTGCGCATCGCCGCCGACGCACCGCTGCGAAGCGTCTTTTTTGTCGATTTTTGTTTTGTTCTAGTGCATTTTTAATTGAATTCTTGTTAATAAGATACTAGAGTCTTCGTCTTGAGTGTTAAGTTTAGTTTAGTGTAGGTTGTGTTTAGTTTTGTGTGAAATGTGATGTGTTTTGCGCGTGCATGCCCGGCATTGAAAAGAGCGTGCTTAGCTCAGTCTTCAGAGAGGAAGTGGACATTTTCAGCATCGACTATCATTAAGATATCGGTATACAATTAAATTAAATTAATGTATTTCGCGGTTCGTTGTAATCTGCACACAATCGATATTGCGCATGCGCGTTATAGGGCTGTCAACACTTAGAAATTTAAAATTTTTACTCCATTTTTACACCTCCTTTATTTTTAAATATTTGTCAAATAAAATTCACGTTTGCATGTAACCTAACTTGAAACTTTCGGCTGTGTCGGTCATTTTGTTCGTCTCAGTATATGTGAATTCTGCCTATATTATATATACCTTCAAATTAAACAAGAAAGCATACTACGGTATATAAAAAAGTCTATTGTAAATAAAACTAGCTAATTATTTATTTATTTTCAAATTGGCAAACATTCAAATATTTACTAACAAGAGGCTTATTTAAACTAATAAGAAATTATGGCACTACGGTTAAGCATGTTCCAATGATGAATTTGCTAACAAAAAGTTTTAAATTAATATTTGAAATCAACTTCTGCCAAACTTTATGGTCTAGTCTCGGATTTAAAGGAGAGGATACCAGCCAGCGAATTACATGAAGCCGCATAATGAGGAAGGCCAATCTCGTGTAACGGGAAAAATAAAAGAAAAATAAAGATAAAGAGATAGGTTAAAGTAAAATAATTTATAGAAAACTAAAAAATCTCGTAATATACTTTATATTACATAATATGCTTTTGATACTTATAACTTATACTTTCTATTCAAAAATAGAGTTAAAATTAAACAATTCCATACCGTTTCCAGACCGTCGAATTTTTACATTTCCAAAGGAAGAGATAGGAATTCACATGCAAATCTCTTGTTGATTAATGGCCGCTAGCGTCTAGGCATCTGACAGGTGATAAATGTGACGTTTTGTAACATCGCCCGGTCGCTGTTGGCGAATATAAGCGGATTTTAAAAACTAGATACCTATTTCGAGGCATACAATTGACCGCTTGGTTCATATTATGGAAGCTGGTATTTTTTGTTCACAAAAATGCTAGAATATTCCTAAGTGTAATGTTTCTATAAAGTATTCTTTCCTGTCGAAACCCGCACCAATCTCCTTCTGTTAATATTGCATATTAAGAACATCTGTGGGATCTCCGTAACAATACTTACATCGGTTTCCTTGTTACTGAATTAAATGAAAATACATTCAACGTATGGAATGAAAAAAGTATGGAATACTTAAGGAGTTTCTAATGCATTCAATCTATTCAACTTATTGAACGCCAAATGCATTTTCATCGAATCCAATGCTAACTAAATTGAAATCATGCAATTTCGAGGTAAGCGATTGGCTGCGACAAAATTACTCTTTTATAATAAAAAAATATTTTATTGATTTTACTATGGGCATTATTATTAATAGATTAATGTTATTGACAATAAAAAATATTATTACGAAAGCATATCAACACTTTAATTGTTAAAATAAATAAAACGTTCTTGTAGCTATGGCTGCTGGCTACAACAATCTACAAAAAAAAATCTTCTATTAGTTTTGAACTTATCTTTTTATATTTAAAATAATTCAGAGAACTTTATTATATTTTTTATTTTGAATTTATTCAAGACTTGCTGACCCGGTGAACTTCGTATAGCCGTTTTTTATTAAATCTTATATACCTACAAACCGTGTCAAGAATCGTGGAACACATAAAAAAAAGGATCATCCAATTTGATGCAGTCGGAACTGGAATTATGAAGTTATGCGCGTACATACGTTTCGGCGATTCATTTCCATTCATCGATATTTAATAGCTCGCCCGGAGATTTTTATTTTTCAATAACTCATTAGTTATATATATTTATTTATATAGTATACAGGGCAATTTTGATCTACATTACATTCATAACGTATCTAACTTATTTATTTGAATAAGGATCAATACTGTATTGTTAAAAATAGGTGCGTAAATAGCCCATCATTAGTTTTAAGTATACGTAAAAAAATGGTTATTGTGGCTTATCCTTGGAATATAGACATATACTACCACGGACTTTTTTGTAGATCTATTAAAGAGGTTCAATTCCCCCATACAATGTTTTGTTATAACTCAAAAGATTTTGGCAACGTTTTCGAGGAAAGCTTCCGATCGGCTTTATTTTTTCCGACATATTGAACTAATATCGTTGTCATATCGTCAATTTGTACAAAAACTAAACTTACCATACACTTAAATCTTCTTGAATTGCTCTATCTATTGTTGAAAACCGCATCGAAATCCGTTGCGTAGTTTTAAAGATTTAAGCATACGTCCCTACGTATGCTTACTACGGATATAGGGACAGAGAAAGCGACTGTTTTTATACTATATAGTGATATGGTAGCCATTCTCACCAATTCCTCTGTCTCAAATTTGGGGCTATCATTTAATTAATAATGAACAAAAAACCAATAGTTTCTTGAAAAAAATCGCTTTTAAGGAAGTAATAATTCTCACTTTTTTAAAGTACGAAGACGGTCCTATTTAAAAAGTATATATAGGTATAGATAGGTCATGAATTCAATATATTACCTGAATTAGCTATGGCTTAAAATAGTTTTAGTTTTGCTAGATCCTCTAGTTATTTATTAAATATAATCTACATTAAGTTTAAGGAGAGGCGTAAATAAAGTAAGTCATTTTATATACGAAACGATTTCCGTTTATTTTGCAAAAAGCATTGATTACACGCACATATTAGGTAAATACCTAAAGGTTAAAGTCTCATCATGCATCATTTTAAATAATTAAACATTTCTATTAAATTTATAAGTAATAGCAATAATATTAATACATTGTATTATATAATAATTTCGCTATTATCACGTATGGCAATTAAAGAATATTTACAACGATTTTTTTACTTAACGATGACAAAGATAGATTATTACGTATGAATAAATCAACATTTTACAATAAACTTTGAAAAAGTCAACAGAAACAAAGTCAATTATAAAAATTCGTGATGTGAAAAAAATTAACAATAAAACACATGATATAACTATCACAGTCCAAAATGATGTAACGAGTAAAAAAAAATTCAATAACAAATAATGAGGAACTTTAAAATTATATGGATATACCACTTGGAGCAAATGAAACATACTCTGCATCTAAAATTAGCTAATCTACCATTTGATTTCAATGTTACTTACTTTAAGAAATGAAAACGACAATTTTAATGGAAACTAGTCTATACACAGAACTACTATTAGAGAGTTTAAATTTACATATTGCTGTTTTATTATTTTTATATTATTTATTTTGATCGGTATAATTGCTTTAAGCTAATGAGGTAAAGGAAAGAGACGTAGCGTCAAAGTTAGAAGTAATAGATGTAGTTTTAGCATTTAAAACAGTCAAGACAACCATGAAAATCAATCATTTCTGCGTGTAATCTAAAATATTCATTAATATAAAACAGATTTACTAGATAATGATGAAAATGAATTTGGAGAAAAGATTTTTAATCTATATCCAAACATTGACGTAACTATCAATAAATATTTTATTACTGAATATCATCGAACTTCATTCAATGTCCGATTGTTTTATACCAATCAAAGTGTCATGGATGTTTCTAAACTTTAACACTCGTATCATAATTTCAGCATATATTTTTAACTAATAAACAAGTATTTCAATGAAGTGTCAGATGTCAAATTTTAGAACATTAGCCATTGGCAGTGATTCATTAAAATTCTCGTCTATCGGTTAAAATTATTCGGTTACAATATGAGATATTCTCAAGTAATTAGGTACTTCTTTCGATACGAGTGTTAGAGTGAGATACAACATGGCATTTTGAAGTACGAAGTATTATCTACACGAGAGCTATTTTCTAGATTATTTCAACACACAGACTACTGTTAAGGCTACGTTGAAGAGACAAATGAATTGGACGGATCTCAACTGAAACAAATAAACCATGCTTGTATTTCAACTTCTAAGTAGAAGTGAATATAGTGTTAACGGTATTAGATGAAAGAAATAATAAATAAATCACCAATTTCTCAAATACAGATATGATTCGTATAAGAAGTTAGTTGTAATATCTAAAAAATTCACAACCATTTATTATTACTCAATTTAAATTAGAGCCCCAGTTATTTTGATGTGGGCATTTACTAAACACGACAAAGACTAAAAATCGGTTATAGTTTTTTTTTTATTAAAATTCGTTAATCTAGTATCTGTACGGTTTCTATATTAAATATTTCCTTTTATCATAAAATTTGAGCCTAATTACTTATTCAAAAGGAAGACACATTGAATTTACAATAGCATTTGTTTCGAAGTCACATTCAAACTAAAATTCAATGTTAGTCGTTCACACAGATTACGTAACACTTTGTAGACAATATATATATTGATTAGTTGAAAATGTCAAATTATCTGCTAACATGGTAGTCAATTGATAGTTTTACATCGAATCACTGTCTGGTGATTCATGAAGTTGATATAATTAAGAGTGCCAATATCAGTTCTATATAGAAATAATTTGTAATCGGACCAAAATTTTTCTTATAAAATTTTAAAGTTATATAAACACAATTTACTAACAATTTATTAAAATTTCATATATTTAAAGTGATACATTTTATTTTTATACATATTAACATTTTCATATTTATTTAACTACAGTAAACAAACTGTAGATATATTAACAAAAAACGCACGATTATTCAGTAATCATAATTAAATAGTGATGTGCTATAAACATATTTTATATCCGATGGCAGGAGATTAAAAAAGAACACTGTATTTATTAAATATTGTTGACAAACTAAAAACTTTTCCTGTACAATTTACTAATAAGGTGATGTTTTGATATAATAATAAATGACATAACAATGTTTATCAATTGACTGACCCATTTAAAAAATATTATTCACATTAGATAGAGGACTTTCTTCCAGTTATTAGTACTTACTAATAAAATCCAGTTCAAAGTAAATTTATCGTTTATATACTTCAGTGCAACGATATAAAGGTTAAAGAGCTTTTCTACCATTGGTTGTTTAATTTATAATTTAGAACTGGATTTAATTATATCATAAAGTTTAAATTTGATAGAAATTTCCGATTATTTGAAAAATATCTTTAATAATTATAAAGAGATATTAGTCTTTTTTATTATTACATCTATATTAAAAACAAATTTTCGACACAACACTGACACATCGAATCTAACGGGATTGTCAATTAATTTAATAGTACATCGATAATTATTTTAAAATCGTTTTTTTTTTTTCATTTTCTATTGAAGCGTTATTTGTCCCCATATCATTATCGTATCTTCCTATTAATGTTTAAACAAAAACATTTATTTCTAATACTTCATTATAACTAATCTATCTACTATTCTATGTACACGTTCATGCTCTGCATCTTTTCAACTTGTCTTATATTATTTACAATCAGAGTAAAATCTCACTAATGATTATTTACAATGTGGCAAATGTAAAAATAATGTTGCTAAAAAGTTTTAATATAGAAAAATGTTCAAAACCAAATATTACACAAGTCCCATTTTTATATTCAATATGACTTTCTATTAAACTGTAATATAGCTACATAATTCTTATAAAAATTTTGATAAATCATACAAAAATTACTCTCATCTCCACATAGTTTTTGATATCTCTTATTGATGCTATATTACCACGAGAATATATCTAATATGAAAATGGTTTAATATTTTTCAATAAAATTCATACTATAATACATCCAGCTTAAAATATTTCCATAGACTATTCATTTACATAAATAAAATAAATAATACTATTAATGACTATGTTTATTTACATTTAATAATATGATTCGGCCTACATGTATTACACTTTTTTAGTTAAGAAATATAGGCCATTGATACACATAAGTTCATCAGCCTCTAAATATAATTTATGGTAATTAAAAAACATATTTAATCATCCTTATTTATACTAACCCTAGACACGGAATTTCATTTGTATTTTAAATTCTAGAACTAGATTAATCAAACTGGAAAAGTAGTTCTTTGGTAAAATAAATTCAAATTAAAAGTGAAAGCCTAGAGATTTATTGATATTATTTTGTAAGAGTAAAATATCTATCTATATTATCGAATAAAACATAGAATTTAATTTGGTAAAACAAAATCCAATTAATTATGAAAGTCAGGAAATTTAACGCTATAATTATGCATTACTACTTGTAAATACAACATCAAATTTCCATACAATTTAATGGTCAACTTGTGATTTTTGCTGCCCGTACAATATTTGGCATTTTCCCAAAGGAAACGTTATTATGTTTAACATGGCTTTTTATATTACCATCATCAATTAATGTCACGGCTTTTACTGAAACTCTAGAGGTCAAACTCGGCGATGCTTCACTGTTCATTTTAACAATATCTATAACTCAGTCAACATAAAATATGTATAAGTACACCAGAGCCTAAAATATTTCGTTGAAATTAAAGTAGGCCTCAAAAGGCTGTCGTCATTACGACATTCAAAGCGACGCTAAATCCGATGCTCTTCTAGAAGGGATTGGCACTCTTAGCTGCGCTGATCCACGTCTATCAAGTCGTTCCATTGCATCTAAATCTGATGCACTACGCTTGCAGAAACTACAGAATGCACAAGCTAAAGTATTTTTGAAAGCGTTACGAAAATCTCTATTAAAATACGCGTAAATTATAGGGTTCAAAGCGGAATTGAAATAACCAGTCCAAAACATAATCACTGTCACTACTTCTGGACAACTACACGAGTCACACAAAGATGTCGACACATAAAAGAGGAAGAAAGGTAGCCAGCAAAGAATGAATGCTCCCATAATAATGCCTAATGTTCTTGCTGCTTTATGTTCTCTCTTCATCTTCAATATATTTCTATCTTTGGTTGGGGTGGTAGCGTTTATATGTAATGCTCCATTCTTATCGCTTACTTCTCTAGAATGTCTGTGCATTAGCATTGCGTTACCAGCTCTAGCGTGTAACGCTTTCTCTTGTCTATTAGCCTCTTTGAATATCGCTAAATACGTAAATATCATTATTGTACAAGGTATCCAAAACGATATTGAACTCGATATAACGGCGTATGGTTTGTTCACTTTGAATTCGCACTCATCATCTTTACGCATCTCGAGGAAATCTGTAGTTGTGTACCAACCCATGAATATTGGGACGTAAGATATTGTTATTGGACTCAACCATGTTGCTGCTAACATCACAAACGCCATCTAAAAGAAAACATTTAAAATGATTACATACACATTTAGGTATTTCTAAAATTTGTTTACAATGGATTCCATTTGATGTGGAAAAACTTTAACAAATCTTATTTTGAGGTCAATAAATGTATATATAAATTATATAAATATAAATTCGGTTTATATTTATTTATAAAATAAACAAAAATACACAATCAACGTGTCCAGATATTTGTCATAAATACCTCTTTGTGCGAAAACAATTTATAGGATAAGGAGATTTTTAAAAAGTCCACGATTTGCCCCTTGAATTGTTTCTCAAATAGCGGCAAGAAAAGGAAAATATTGGCTTTAATGCCAATATTTTCATTTCAGACAAATTGTATGGATAGTAATATACCAAGCTACTTTTACTAGAGCCACGGCAAAGGTTTCGCAATTAAATCGATAATCTGAATATACCTTTTGAAAATGAATGGAATATTTAAAATTACTGAGAGTACAAAGGCAACTTGAGTTTTTGGTAAATTGATTAGAATATTCAAGAGAATATATTTCTTTGATGAATTTTATCTCTCATAGAAACTACCCACTGAAAGGTTTTCTTGTAATCCGCCATTATATTCATCAGAGGTACAGATTTGCAGAAATGAGATTGCTGACACAAAAAAGGCAGCAAATTTGTTATTTAATTTGATAATTTTTACATTTACAATGCTATAATGCTGAAAGATACTCTTGATAAAAAATGCTTAAAAAATCCACTTTGTCCCTGGCACTCTGAGATGGGACTTGAACGCATAAACTTTCGCGAACCGGCTTTTTAAAACATTTTTTAAGAACAATTTTTTTTTGTCTTTGGAAAATTTTGTATACTATACTCGAATCACTCTAAACTAATGCTGAACAAAAGTTAAAAGCTCGTGTTAAAATTTTGATCCCCTTAACAATATTATGTAAAACTCTGAATCTCTCAGAAGTTAGTGAAAAATCGACAAAGAAATTTGAATTGCAGATCATTCACGGATTCGCAATTTCAACAAAGTAATTAAGAAGTATTATGAAAAATCTCTGACACGGCTGCACTTTATTATTTCTTCATAGAGCTTTTGTATTTTATACATAAAAAGTTTTCCATGGAGATTTAACTATTTTTTGTTTTATCTTAACTACTATATGATATTATTCTAATGTTAATAATAATTATTTTTACTCATTGCATAGTACAAACAAATGAAACTATAACTTAAAAAACTAATTAAAAATTAAACGATGAAATATAAACAAACCTTTTTTGTCATCTTGATAGGATATTTCAAAGGTTTCACAATGGCGTAGTACCTATCAACGGAGATGCAACACAAGTGGAGTATTGATGTTGATGTAAAGTATACGTCGGAGGAGTTCCAGAGATCACATATTGTCTTCCCGAATACCCAGCCCTGATTGAACTGCACGCTGAAGTTGAACGGCATAACCACCATTGCAACAAGGATATCGGCAAATGCAAGGGAGACGACGAAATAATTTGTGATGACACGGAGTTTTCTGTAACAAAATCATGCAGTTTACACTTTCTTTTATGTGAAATGCTCATTGAGGAAATAAATTATTTATTTTGCTAAATTAACACATTCAGTCTAACTCTAAAGGTTTCTAGATATAGTTTCAAAAATCACTGTCATAATTCTATAAAATTATTCTGCGAATTGATAAAAGCCACGTAAAAAGTGGTTCGAAAGTTTTTAATTTTGATTTCATATAGGCACATTCATCTTAAAACATGCAATATAAGGGGTAATTATGAATAGAAGTCATATTTGAATTAACAGGTAAATCAGTTTTAGAACGATTTTTTTTAATAATATGAAATAAAGCGAACTAAAATAATTTCAGTGATGATTCAGATACTAATAATAGATTTTCAATATTACCAAAAGTGAGTGTGTTTTGTTATAAAAATGAAACATTGTTACAAATTGACAGGAAAACGAATGAATCGCTGGTCTAATAATATCATTAAAACTGATAGAAACGAAAACATTTGTTCATTTGAAAGCATCTGTAATGTCAGTCATGATCCTTTTATAAATGATTCTCTTGAAGTAACATACGAAAATTAGGTAATTTATGACTCCAATATGGTTGCTACATAGCATATAATAGTGATTGAATGTCAAATATTTCATATTTATTAGATTTACATTACATTGATCTTTAATGGGATTCCAATCCTAAATTAGAATTTCTAACGTTGTAAAATTTTAGGTGTAATTTCTAATATCTCCTTTTTTTAATATATCACAATTATTATCATCTACTTTTAATTATTATAGTGACAACAGATAGTGAAACTGGCATAAATTAAAAGTATATTGACTTTTAATTTATGCCAGTTTCACTATCTGTTCTTATAACCCCTGAGCGCAGTATATGTATAATCCATTTAATCGATTTGTGGACGAGGCCCGATAAATACACCTTTTTTTTAATAAGTTTATTCTGATTTATCCGAGCGATTGTTCGAAACTTGCGGAAATAAAAGCTTTAGGTATATATGTGTACAGCATAATTGAATATCGCTAATTGGATGTCTAAGGTAGACAGCGATAGGATCATCAAACACGTGAACGTTATCACATACACTTTCATTTATAAAAGCATTTACGTCGAACGTCTTTATTAAGTACTAACCTGTGCCTCATAACACTGACAATGACCAGCATGTTGCCCAGCACCGCCATAATGACAATGAGCAGGAACACGCAGGTACGCAGTTTGAACAAAACGCTACTCGTCCACTCGTCGGCATGAGTTGCGTTGTACGCTCCATTTGTGAGATCACTGATGGTTGCGTTTGTCCCGCTGTGGGATCCGTTTACGGGATCCATATGTGGGGATCTGTCAATAACAAAATTTGAATAAAGATTCTAAAAAAAAACTAATAATCAATAATGCGAATGTTCCAGATTTCAATATAAACATCTATACTAACTAAAGAAGTGTAGTAGGTATTATTTTGAAAAATGATTTTTACATTGAATATATAGGAGAGATTTAACGTTTCTCATGTCTTCGTCGTTATTAAAACCACTTTATGATGGTACTGATATCGAAAGAAACCGAATTGTTATGTACATATGTAACCTAATTTGATATAGTAGTATGAACTAATCAGACTTCTCACAAAATGATTGTAGAGAAAAAAAAAAAAGGTGTTGTAACTGCAAAATATTTTCTTTCTGTGGTTTAAAGTTAATTTATTGCTAAATTATTAGTGATATGAATTACCTAATCATAAAAAAAAAAATTACTCAGACTTTCATTTCATGGAACAAATGTATGTCTAGAAGTTTGTTTTGCATTGCAGCCACCAGGTGTTCCAGCGCCTGACCTCCGCACTGGCTACTGAGTAATGAAACCTTTAGTACTTCAACATACTAAAATAATAAACTTTGAAAGCTGTTGCACATTTTTTGTCACGAGCTCTCTGTCTATTGAGACATAACGTAATGCTACGCGTGCTGAAAAGTATTCATTTCCCTATTTCATTCGGTTATTCTAATCACTAACCTTTATCTCGCACGCTTCTCTTCTTTGTTAACGCCACACACATCCGCACCAATAGCACGGACGGTCACACTTGGCATTGTTACAATTCACAATATAGACTGTTCTTTATTGAAAAATAAAACTATGTCCATGTTTTTCTTCTTCACTCTTTCAGTTTTTCTCTTCTCCGACGATTTTTTTGTATTCATCTTCGATTGTTTTGCCACTTTGCTGCCAACATTACGACGTCATGGCATCGCTTTCTGTAACAAAGACAGTCGATTTATCATTTTTGCTCGTGTAATACGAGAATTAAGGAAAATATTTTGTCTTTGCTAAAAAAACTATGTAGCTTTAATTACAGTATTTCAAAAATAAAAATTTTTAAAATTGCGTGTAGGTGGTAAGATTTAGGAAAATTTTCTTCTATTGATCCTTCTAAAGTTAATGTACCATAAGAAAAGGTTGTATGAATTTCTATAAAAGGTGAACAAGAGAAGTTTTATATTTCATTCTTATACTCAATGATCTATTGTAAACATTAGTAATTACATTGAAAAAAATAAATAACGAAGAAATTACAACTATAACAATTTTTCATACATTGTCTTCTCGGAAAGGTTTTAAAAATTGTCTATTTTAATCAAATTTGAGATGAATTTTGTAAACCGCTTTTATTGTAATTAAGATATTTTATTGATTTTCGTCATGTTCGTAATTTTGTAAAGGATATCATTATACAATTTATATCATTTTTGTAATTGGATAAGTTGGGATGAATTTTCTGCATGCAAAAACAAGCGGAAGTTTTGTAATTCATTACTTAAACCAGCCGGGAAGCTCAGGCGAGTTTTGTGCAAACAATTGGTGTTAAAATTTGCATTCGCTGTATAGTTTTTTTTTAATTTTAACAATTAGACCTCTTTTTTAATGCAATTTTGAAAACAATAGAGAATATAAATCTATGTTATAATAATATACAATTTTGCTCATAAAAATCGAATTCTCCAACAGAACTTCAGGTTACACTTGACTATTATTTAAAGAAATAGGCAACAAATTTAAAAATTACAAACCGAATACCAATAAATATTGTTTTATTTTATATGGAACGGTCAGAGAATATATTTTGGATAGCGATCTATCAAATTTTACTGAAAATAGGATATTCAATTATTATCAATATTAACTTATAAAACATTCTTTATCTTACGTACACGTAATTTGAAACACAAACATACAATTTAAAGGCTTACTTTCCACGGAAAGATAATTAGGGCGGAAATTAATTTTGAGATTGAGGACGTATTTCTTTAGGTTAGGTGTATATGCATTTACATTTAAGAGAGAAATTAAAATATTTTAAAACTAAATTTATTTTAAATATATTACCTACGTGTCAAAAGTAAATGTTTATAAGAGCATTCATTTATAATGTTTGTAGGTATATTTATTAAAATGTGTAATATAATGAAAGGCTAGTCTATTTTTGTATATTTAGCTGAGTAGGTCAAGCGACACGTAACGATGTGAATATAAAGGGGATTCATTGACCTGATATGACATTATATCACCTTTTTTATCGTTAGAGGTTTATCCTTCTATTAAATGAATATCTATTGAGAATATTAACTAAAATAAATAAAATAGTTCACAAAAAATAAGTAGACAGCCATCTTGGGCCAACTATTGGATTAGATTTAGAAAACTTTTTTTAACTTTTGCCAATAAGCAGATGATATGCTACATGTATTCCATTTTATTAAATCATATTTGGCGCCATTGATAACAAAAACACATCAAGTGAAAGACAGTTTTTGCTTCAATGAAGACGCTTTGACCTTTTGATCTCTCCGACCGTTAAATGTAATTTGTTTGTGTTTGCATTATTTATTTGTTACTGTTGAAATTATAAGGAGATGTTGACATTTATTTGAAGTTAGCTTAGGAAGCAATTATTATTTGAATTTCGGCATCAACATAAATAATAACAAATACAGGCCGCCAATTAGCAGTTAAGTAGAGTATTTGCTTAGGAGTGTGTAATAATACATTATACATTTAATTTATTCGATTGTGTCAATCGACAAATAAAATGTCGAATGAAAAAATAAAATAATGAAACAGATATGAATGCTCAATTACAACATAAAAGTATTAAATATATGCATAGAGTATGAAATAACAGCACAGCAATAAAACTTATGTCATTGAAATACGTTTTATACGATTTTTATACACTTACATTCATATTTATTGATGAAGCTACTTTATCTCTATTATCCTTATTTTATTTTTTTCAACTACCTATTGATTCTCGCTAAAGGTGCACCATTAAAGGGTGCACCACTCAATGGAGTTTTTGTGGTGTACGTTCTGTGTCGCCGCCGCTGGCAATTCAAACTTAAAAAGAGGTTGCATATATAAGCCAGTTGAAACCTCCTTAAAGCCGTAACGGCAATCATAAAAAAGCAAATCTATGCGATCGTCTTTTGTTTTATTTATCAACGCTTGTACTGAAAATACGTATATATTGAACTGCTCATTTTCCATATTTTGATTTTATCAAAATACTTACCTACTATTTATATATATAAAGCTTTGACTGATCCGGTCCTGGTGGTGCTTATAGTTTGGTAAGTACTCTCTATTTTCGATATATAACTCGATATATCAGAATCCTATCACGCATATTCTATGGAAAACTATGATATCATGTTGCATTAATTTAGCCGCATTACGTTTACACTCCCTCGTCAGGATGCCAATTCTGCTAATATTTACGTTGTAATTGCATGTCAATAGGATCTCAACGAATTGCATTTTACTATTGCATTATACGAGGGTCAAACTGAAAGTTCTTAGAAAATCAAAAACTGATTACATTAGCCAGTTATTAGTTTTATTATATCTTTTCAAAATATTGTCCATTCACGTCAATACACCGCTGCATGCGATGGAACCACTGGGAAAAGCACTTTGCCCACTCGTCCTTAGGGGTCTCTTCAATGGCATCGCGATACGCAGCCACCGCTTCTTCAGCATTCATAAACCGCTTTCCTTTAAGTTTTTCTTTAATTTTTGGAAATAAATAAAAATCACAAGGCGCGAGGTCGGGACTATACGGCGGGTGACCCAGTAATTCAACGTTTGATGTCGCCAAATAGTCGATCGTTCGCTTGGCGGTGTGCGACGAGGCGTTGTCGTGGTGAAGGAGGATCCTACTGCGAGGTCGTTTCTCTCGAACTTTTTCCAAGACAAGTGGCAAACAATTGGTAGTGTACCATTCTGCAGAAACTGTTTTTTGATCCTCTAACACAATTGTTGCAAAATGACCTATCCTTCCAAAGAACGAGGCCACCATTTTTTTTCCTGCACTTCGATCTCTCTTCACTTTAGTTGGCAACTCCTCGAAAGGAAACACCCACTGAGCAGATTGTCTTTTGGTTT